ATAGGTACTGTCAATAATGACGTGTACTTGCCCCTGAAGTATACAATGTCATATACAAACCAATCAATTTTATGAGATAGTGATGTAAGCAACATTGTATGGGGAAAAACTGATAAGGGTAATAATAAAATTAAATAAGGATATTAATAAAATAATAAATTCAATAAATAATAAACAAATGCATAGTAAAATCATAAAAATTTTAAATCATAAAAATTAATAAAGAGGAATAAACAATACCTGCTAACTAAAGGCCTGATGTGAACTTCCTTTTTTTGCTGGTAGAAAGTGTCTCAGAAACTCCGTGGATCCAAAAACTTATGTAGGTTCAACTGGTTTTAGAAATAAATCTGGTTAAGCTGGGTGTAGTGCCCGTGATCCCAGCACTCAGGGGACTGGAAGATCTTGAATTTGAAGCCAGCCTGGACTACATAGTGAGTTCAAGGACAGTTCAAAAGCTATAGCAAGATCCTGACCCCCAAAACCAGTGGCTGGGATGTAGCTCAGTGACAGAACACTAGCATACTATGCCCAATGCCCTGGGGTCAATCTTCTGCACTGCAAAAAAAAAAATTCAGATTTTTTTTTTTGTGGTATGGGATTTGAATGCAGGGCCTGGACCTTGAGCCACTCCACCAGTCCTTTTTTTTATGATGGATTTTTTTGAGATAGGGTCTTGCCAACTATTTGCCCAGGCTGGCTTTGAACGACAATCGTCCTGATCTCTGCCTCCTGAGAACTAGGATTACAGGTGTGAGCCACTGGTAGCAGGCAAAATCTGATTATGTCTTCTTTGCTTCTGTCATTAATGACAGAGCATTATCTGTCATCTAAGATAACAGGGACACAAAAGGACAGTGTATGTTTCCATTTATATGAAGTGCCTATGTTGTCAAATGGTTACAGAAAGAAAACAGAAAGGCCATTCCCAGGGGCTGGGAGAAGAGAGCAACAGGAAGTCACTGTCTATAAAGCTTTAGCTGTCCAAGATCAGTGGCTCACACCACTGGGAGGCTGAGATGGGGAGGATCAAGGTTTGAGGCCAGCCTGGGCAAATAGTTTGAGACCCCCATCTTCAAAATAACCAGAGCAAAATGGACTGGAGGTGTGGCTCAAGTGGTAGAGTGCCTGCTTTGCAAGACCAAAGCTCTGAATTCAAACCCCAGTCCCTTAAAATAAAATGAAAAAGTTTCAGCTGCAGAAGATGGAGACGTTCTCGAGGTGAATGACTGTACAAACAGGTGACTAATGAGCTGCACACTTAAGTATGTTGTCAAGTGGGTAAATGTGTTTAAGCACAGTAAAAATGCTTTAAGACATGAATCATGTTTGTTTTTTCTTTTCATTTGTGTATATATATATATTTTTCCAGACATGACGTAAGATGGAACTACGATGATGTAAAACATCCTCTCAAGGCATTGTTTTTGAAAATAGATAATGCACATGTTGGGATGCAAACAACACCATGTCCCTGCCTTCTCACTCCAGGAAGGGCCGAAGCCTCTCCACACTCGTTCTGTTCTCAGTTTCTTAGCCCTTACCATGCTGCAATTTAGCCTCAGGACGGCTGAGCCTGGGAGTCCCAAGTCTATCCGACTAACTGAGAAATAGTTAATAATGAGACCATAGCATCTACTGAGAACATGGTAAGTGCCGGACATGATGTAGGTCAAGATAAACGCTTCAGGCGGAGCCACAAACACCGTTTCTTAATTTACTATGTCCTACCACCTTAAACAGACAACGTCCCACATGTCCTAACCTGGGAATAAGAAAACAGACACTTCTCTGTGCCAATAACCATGCCAAGAAGTGTGTCAGCCAATAGTTGTGAAACTCACTAAGCCTTGGACAGTACCACGAACAGTGAAGTGGAAAGTTTTGGAAATCTAGATCTATTAAAATCTCACATGAAAACAACTTGCACGTATAGAAATCTTTTATTTAGAGACTCTTTTCAGAATCGGGTTCATTTATTAAAGTAGGCGAAGAATACATGAAAATAGTTCAAAACTGACAGTAAATCCACCTCAAAGCAAACCATTTCTTGTGTCTCTCAAGGAACTGGATTAATGTAGTATAAAAGAAAGCTCAACTAGCAGATATAATTAAAGTGTGACTCACAGGGCAAGTCCCGAGTAACCCTGAAAGGGCCTATAAGAAAATGTCCACTTGTAACACACTGCACGTTAGACACTAACGGAGGAAAAGTCCAAATTCATGCAAATTAACTTGCAAATGATTGATAGAGCACACTGGTAAAGGCACCAATGCATCGTGGGTATAGCATCTGTGTGAGGCTCTGTTTCATAGCACATTCTGATTCAGGAGATACCAAGACACACTCTCTGTATTTGCTCTTCTGAGACTCACTTAAGGTCAGGTTGAATGCTTTCTTTGTAAGTCACTTCTTCTAATCCAACAGTAGACAGTAGATACAATCCATGCAACTGTATTTAAAAACAGTAAATGATAACTCCTATCTTGGAATCTGTAATACTCTGCCCATGCATGGAAGACTTTTACAGAAAACTGAAAATGGACACCTAATATATTAAATGCTTCCTCAAAGGCGGTTCATTTTTAAGAATTAATTGCAGGACTTTGATGTAATGGAAACCAAGAAGAGTTTGTTACATTTTACCTGTTTTATATCTCAGTAGTCGGCTTTGAATTTAGTTGCTTGGAACAACATGGCAAAAGTTGAAAGGAAACCATTTGTTTAGCCTGACTGATTTTCTGTCTTTCAATCTGTGTGATGAATAGATGTAAAATCACCATAGGTCAAATCAGCCCACGGCTGTTCATGTCATTCCAGTAGCTGAATGCGTTACCACTGAACCAGGCCTCTGAAAGGGACAGGCACTAGCTCCACACTTGGGAGCTAATGACTATACTTGAAATTAGCCATTTTGCACATGGAGGACTCCTGGTGTAAATACAGATGTAAACTTTTAAATCTGATTTCCCTGGCCCAGAAGCATTGAAGTCCGGTTTACAGGATTTTATCTGATTTCAAGTTTCCGTACTTTTTAAGTGCTTGTGCATACTTAAAAAAAATGAAACTAAAAGTCTTGACAGTCCCTGAAACTTAATTGGGAAAAATGTCAAGCACTTTAATGGAATTCTTTCCATGATCTGCAGAGAGGTTTTCTTTCTTTCTTTCTTTTTTTTTTTTTTTTTAGACAGATGGTTCAAATGGACAAAGCAATGAAAACGTAGAAATTAAAAGCAGATTCTCAAGAAAAGTAACTGAGTTCTCAGAAATCCTATGGATGATGGCGGGAAGAGATGTAAAACAGCAATTTCTCTAGACGTCAAAGGTTTCAAGAGAACAGAAATTTATTAGGTGTGCCTCCAGCACAGGGTCACTGCCTCTTGCTAAGAATTAACTATTCACTTGACACTCCCGGCACTTCAGCGATTTGAAAATCTCGGCGCCTGTAGAACAATCCCATCCAGGTGCCAATACCGGACACTAATACTGTGATGCAAGTGGTCTTCCAGAAGTAACAGCACAAGTTCACGGTGCGGACTTGAGGGCCGAGGATGACTTAAAAATCCTCCCAGCAACTGGGAAAAAAAATACCAGTACACCTCAAAGCTGGGTCATTGCAACCAAGGAGAAGGAAGGACACAGGACAACCTGCAACCCTGAGTTCACAAGCCTCCTGTGCAGGAAATGGAAATGAAACCTTAACTAACGCTAGACATTGTCTTCCATCCAGGCTTCAAAACATACTTTCCAGAAAGTTCACGTGGATTTCTCTCCCAGGCGATTGTAGAGAGAGGATGGGGGGGAGAAGTGTAAGGAATTGGGGAGCTCAGGGCCCCGAAGTGTCATTGCGGGCTAGCTGCGCCAGGAGCCCAGGAGGGGACAGGACTAAGGCCAGGGCAAAGGGTGGAGAACCTTGAGGGCAGCACGTCTGGGCTGGAGGGTCAGGGAGGTCTCTTGGTAGGGGGGGTACAGGGTCACTGAGCGAGGCAGGGGAAGGAGGGGGACGGAGGGCGGAGTGCGGGCCGGGTGGGGGAGGGACAGGGTCGCTGGGCGTGGGTGGTGGCAGGGGACTCAATGCAGGCTTGTTGGGGGGCGTCGCAGGGCAGGGTGGGGGCGCGTCACTGGGTTGGGAACTCGCATGGGGGAGGGGCGGTTCACTGGCTGGGGGTCGCAGTGCGGGTCGGGTCTCTGGGCGGAGAGCACATTTCGGAGCTGGGTGGAGGTAGGGCGGTCACTGGGCTGGGGGTTGCAGTGAGGGCCGGGTGGGGGTGGGGAGGTCACTGGGCTGGAGGGGGTTCAGTGAGGACGGGTGGGTGTGGGGTCACCCGATGGGGGTGCAGGGTGGGTCCGGGCCATGGTCGATGGACAGGGGTGGGGAGTGCGGGCGGATGGGTCACTGGGGAGGGGGGCGCAGTGCGGGCAGAGGTGGGGGTTCACTGGGCCGGGACGCAGTGCAGACCAGGGGCGTGGTCGCTGCTTGAGGGGGCGCAGTGCGGACTGCGTGGGGGTGGGGAGAGAAGTGCGGACGGGGGGCGTCCCTGGGTGAGGGACGCAGACCGGGCCGGGGAACTGGGTGGGGAAGGTCATTGGGGGGGGTGTCACTGGGCGGAGGGGGGCTGGCGCGGGCGGAGGATGGGAGCCAGGGCGCGGCGGCTCTGAGCCTGAGTCCGCCCAGGGGGAGGCTCCCGGCCGGCCCGCGTCGCCGCGGGGCGCTCCCGGCTCATTGCGCCGCCGACGGTCAGGAGCGCAGGAGCGCGGAGCTGCCGGAAGTGACCGCGCGGCGCCCGCGATCGTCGGCCGCTGGGGCTGCGGCCCCGAGCCTGTCCCCGAGCTCCGAGCGACGATGCGCCCCGAGGACCGCGCCCTGAGCCGCCCCGCGCCCCGGCCGGCGTGCGCCCGCGGACGCCTGGCCCGAGCGCAGGACGCCTGAGCGCGCGCGGGGCCCGAGCTGCCCGCGCCGTGTCCCCCGCGCGGCCGCTGTCGCCGCCGCCAGCCCGCCCGCGCCCCGCCCGCCAGCCGGCCCCGATCGGCCCGGCCGCAGCCATGGGGCTGCCCACCCTGGAGTTCAGCGACTCGTACTTGGACAGCCCGGACTTCAGGGAGCGACTGCAGTGCCACGAGATCGAGCTGGAGCGGACCAACAAGTTCATCAAGGAGCTCATCAAGGACGGCTCCCTGCTGATCGGGGCGCTGCGCAGTAAGTGGGGCGGCCGCTTGCGCGGGCCGCGGGGTCCCCGGGTGGCTTGCGGGACACCCAGCTTCTTTTGTTTGAATGGACTTGGGGACAAAGCTGACGAGCTCCCCTGCTGGTGGCCGACAAAGTTTTGTTCCTAGGTGTTCGTAACTGACTTCCATGGCTACAGAGAAGGGAAAGTTGTCTGCTGGACGCTGGGCATGTCCTGCGGAAAGTCGTTCCGAAGCGACTTTGGTGTTATGTCGCCGGAACGATATTGGGGACTTTCACCAAAGTTGTCGTTTAAGTACGCATGTGTGTATGCATAAAATAGTTACAAGGAACTTATAGGTCCCTGCGATACAAATATTGTACAGGACTTTTACTTTTTTTGTGTGCCTAAATTAGAATATTAAAAAAAGTCCTAGGGGCGGGGGCAATCATAGTTCGTTTTAAGGATAAAATTAGGGTGGTTTATTTGGAGATAGTCAAAGAAAATCAGAAGATTCTCACAAGCAGCAATTGGCACTTCACTGAGCATATTAAGTTGGCTTTAACAAAACCGTACATTTTCAGTTTTGCCATTTTAGTATAAAAGTGGCAGCAGTGGATTAGCTCTGATGGTTTCTCCTGCGTCCTGATTTTTGGTTTGCACTGTGTGTGGTGTTGGTTGACAGTCAATCAGTGGTTCTGATGAATGTCACCACCTGCGGGCTTCTCCCACCTCACTTGACTGGGTTGTCTGTCTGTCTTTCATCCTTCGAAACGTCATTCACTTTCATTTACTAAGACTTAAAAGAGTATCCGCAACTAAGAGTGTCTCAGAGAGTTAGAGTTGAGTGACTATTTGCTCAGGCTTAGCTCATTGCTTTTCTCAGGATGTATTTGGATCTTCATAGAAGCTTCCGAAAGCTTTGGCTTCTGAAGTGAGTGGAATCTCAAGCCTCTGATGACTGGGCAAAGGAGGCCTTTTCACAGGGCCCTAAGGCCTTTGGGTGATCTAGTTAGTAATCCAGCTTCTTTACAGGTGTCAAGTCCAAAGTCAGCTACATGATGGGGAGTGTGTGTGCCTGAAACTGTACTTGCTGTCTTTTGAAGCAGTTTAGAAAGCTGTCCTGAGTTGTTTTCCAAAACCCTGTTTTGTTCCAACCACCCTAGATGCTAAAATATTTGCTTTACACCTGTGTTACTTAACTAGAGTAAAGAAAATGCTTCAGGCGTAGTTTGAGGCTACTAGAATAACATATGGCTTATCCACAATTCCCGCCATCCTGGGTACACACAAATGTGACTGACAGTTCCTTCCTTCCAGCTTGTGGATCCTGGGTGAGGTCTCAGTGCTAACTCTGAGTTCCAGAGAGTGGGATGTCTCTTCAAAAAGAGCCTCCCTGACTTGCCTCGCCTGCCAGATGTGCATTTCCCTCCGCTCTGCGTGAGATTAACTTTGGTGTTTCAGAAGTTGAAAAAACATACATAACCATGTAGGTTATTTTACTAGTGTATTGCATCTGTTCTACGGATTGTTGAATCTAAAAACAATCCAGTGGTTCCCATCCTTGTAAGTGTGTTCTTGCATTTCTAAGGGAAGGAAGACCCTTGGAGGGTATAGAGCCTGCCTAATGAATTGGGCCTTTTGTACTTAAAAATATAACGTGCTGTCTTCCAGGACTCTCATCTTCCTGGTTACTAACATTTGATTGTGACCTTTATCAATGTGTAAGGAAAATGGTTTATTTCTTGTGAAAAGAATTCCCAGCATCCAGCCACATAGGAGATCTGAGAGCCCAAGAGCCTTGAGGTCACCATGACACCCCCGCTTTTTCCCACCACCACCTTCGTCCCATGGGGAGGATGCTCTGAGGCCAGCCTGCAGCTGCTAGTGTACAGGATTGGAACCTGCTTCGTTCTACCCCAGTCCCTCTCTAGTAGACATATCTATGATTCATTCCAAATTTTTGTCACCTTGCTGTTTCATTAATAATTGATGCTTTCCTGATATAGCCTTGCCTAGCTGGCAGTTATCAACGTCTCACTTCTTTTTTTCTGTGGTACTGGGGTTTGAACTCAGGGCCTACGCCTTGAGCCACTCCACTAGCCCTTTTTTGTGATGGATTTTTTTTTTTTTGAGATAGAGTCTTGTGAACTATTTGTCCAGGGCTGGCTTCGAACCGAGATCCTCCTGATCTCTGCTTCCTGAATAGCTAGGACCACAGGTGTGAGCCACTGTTGCCCTGGCTCAGTGTTTTATTCCTATTCTTGTTAATAACTCTCCTGGTAAATTTTTTGACATGCGTTCTGTGGATTAATACATGCATGACTGTCTGTTTCAGTAGAAGTTTCAGGTATTCCTTAATCTATGGCTAAGAATGTAGGTTTCTTTAGTTGATTATTTTGAAGCGTCCTTAAATATAAAAATATAGTTTTGTTTTGTTTTTTGAAATAGGATCAGCCCCAGATTCACTATGTAGCCCAGGTTGGCCTTGAAGCAATTCTTCTGCCTCAGCCTCCAGAGTAGCAGGGATTACAGGTGTGCACCACCACACCTGATTTACACGATTCCATTTAAAATAATACATGTGAGATACTTAACATTTAAAAAAACCGAATTATTACATTTTATATTTGCATCCATTCTAAGAAAAGGGATGATGGCTTAGTGTATTGACCTGGGCTGTGAGTTTAAACTCTCGTGTTAGGTAGACACTTTACCATGAAAGCCATGTGCCCAGCCTGAGAATATGCTCCATATAGGTGAATCAAGTTTAGTTTACCCTGCATGACTCAGAATCTCCACCCTTCTCATCAAATGTTATTCTGTGAACTTTATTCCTTTATTTGGTGCCATTCTTAAGATACAAGCTGTGAAATCACAGGTTATCTTGCTTGTTAATTTTCTCCTGTTAAGGATCATACCCAAAGAAATATTTCAAAATTATTCACTGATATCACTTCCCCTTCACCTTTTCTGGTCTCTGCTTTTGAATTCAAAGCATCACCTTTAAGTGGAATAGCTGGGTTATTGCAAGTATACATAGACTCCTCCATCCAAAAAAGGATAGGGAAGAAAAGAATATGCAGAATTGAAAATTGCTATGAGATTTTACACATTATAACTACAAATGAGATAAATGCATCAAATGAGGTATACCTATATTAGCTGAGTTAGCCATTCCACAGTGCACAGTACTCATGTTTCAAAACCTAGTGTCAATATATGTAGTTTTTGTCCATTAAAATCAGTTAATTAAAAAATTACATGCAGCTTTCTGTATCTTGGGTTCTGCATCTGGAGTGAAAATATTCAGAGAACAAAAGTGACAAGACTGCATATGCACACTTTTTTTCCTTGTCATCATTCCCCAAGCAGTATAGCATAACAGCTGTGTACAGAACATTACATTGTACCAGGTGTTCCAAGTAAGCTACAGATGATTTGGAGTATGGGGGCGGGGGGGGGTGCGGTGTGCAGAGGTTCTATGTGACTATTATGCCATTTTCCATAAAGGATGTCCTTGGAGTTTGGTATCTTTGGATCCTGGAGCCCTTCCCCCATGGAGCTGAAGTGAACAGAATTGAGGGTGGGGACTGCATTATAAGCATTCTTTCCTCCACCCCACCCTGTAGCATCTTGGCCAGTCCTCCTGCCTTATCTTGGTTTTCCTTTCATTGCCTTAGGTTAGAATTGGTCTGCTTGCTCTTTGGTCTGTCTTGAAGACAGAGTTTGTTAAACCTGTATGTTTGGGATGCTTTTAAAGGGGAAAAAAAAGTCGACCTGGCGCAGTGACTCACTCCGGTAAGGTAATCCTAGCTACTCAGGAGGCAGGGATCAGGAGGATCACAGTTCGAAGCCAGCCCTGGGCAAATAGTTTGAGAGGCCCTATCTTGAAAAACCCTTCACAAAAAAGGGCTGGTGGAGTGGCTCAAGGTGTAGGGCCTGAGTTCAAACCCCAGTACTGCCAAAAAAAAAAAAAGTTAATGGGCTCTAATGTAAATTTAATTATTATGATTGTTAACTAAGAATGCAAACGTGAAACTACAATTCTGTAAGTAACATACTCTCTTAAAAGCAAGCACTTACAATTTTAATGTAAACTGTATTGAGAAACCAACACAAAACTCAAAACAACATTTAATTAACCTGCTGGATGATGCTGTTTTGCTGAAAGTAATTTTCCTCTCACACAGAGACTGCTGATAATATCTAGCATGCTGGTGATTCATTTTGCTCACTGCTTTTCCCAGCGGAAAGTGGTCTTAAGAATCTTCTTGTTTGGTGAGGGCCTATTTATTTAGTGTCAGGTTGTCTGTGTTCTGGACGGAAGCTCCTAGCACTGGTGGTTCCTGACACAAAGGAGGAGGGTTTGCTCCTCAGTTGACGCTGTAGGCAGCTCAGGTAACAGGACATTAGCAAGAGGCAAGCACCTGGCTTCCTAAATGTGTCTCCCCTGAGTGGCCACAGACCGAGGTTTGAAGTGGGGGACTGTGATGTATTGGTGACCTGGGCAGTGGGTAGGTGTTTGTCCTACAGGCAAATCCCAAGTACAGTTAACCACCTGGAAATGCCCAGGGGTGAAGCACCTCCATCTTGCATTTACTGTGTTTCACAAACTCACCTGAGCCTTGTTTTCCTTTCACCCATTCTCTCTTTGGCTACTTAGCTACCATAATTTTAGTGATACAGAGGAAGAATTAAATTAAAAGGGACAAAAAAGAGAGAAAAATTTAAGCCAGTTGAAAGATCTTCTATAATTTTCTGCTATTTCCTTGGTCACCCCAGCTTTGAGTGAGTACTATTATTTGAGGCTATTTCTGGTTCTTAAATTTGCACCCAGTTTTCCCTAGCATAAGTAAGTAGACGCTGTTGACTCTGTGCAGGTGATGTCACTGCTCCTTATGCACAGAGGTGGTTTTGCCTGTTTGGTGCCCTTGTGTGATTACTTCAGCCATTCATCTGGTTCTTACAGTCGTTAGAAATCCAGTTAAGTGGGCAGAGGTAACTGTAGCATCCAAATGACCTGGAATTA